AACCCTGTAAAGGGTTTCTAAGGAGCAGCTGGTGCGTTTGAACCTTGTGATTCAAACTGACCTTGCAGCCCAGTGCATTAGCCCGCAGTGCTAGAAGAGTAAAAAGGCTTCTTTCAAGACAGTATGAAATACATATTTAGTTGCATTTATTACTTAATATTTTCATTTATAGCTGAAGATTCAGAGTGCTTGTTTATGATTACAAATTCCACCTACACTTCAATACATTGGTTATAATATAGGCAGTCTGTGCATGCACAGAAATCTAAGTTTATAGAAATCCATCACTTGAAGGGCACTTATTAGAGATGAATCTGTTTAGAACACCAGGAGACTTCTGTTTTTACCCTGCAATATAGTCACACATATCTGAACAAGAAAACTGGCTACAATTTGTGTTAATTCAGTTAAGTTTTCATTCTAAGGATTTGCTTCAATTTAGAGTAACAATATTTTACAGAGGGTGTTGTTGTTTTTAAGTGCTGTCGAGTCAGTTCTGACCCATAGCAACCCTGTATAGGGTTTCCTAGGAGCAGCTGGTGAGCTTAAACTGCTAACCATGCAGTTCAAACAGCTTTGCAATCTGGCACATTAACTCACAGCTCCACACCAGGACTCTTTACAGAGGGTAGTGGAGGTTAAGTGATAGAAATCTTGCCTTTCGTGTAGAAGGCCTGGGTTCAATTCCAGTCAATGTACCTCAAGCAAAGCCATCACTCACCCATCAATGGGATGTTTCTGTGTTATTTAGTACTTAATAGGTGTCAATGAAACATATAAATTAAGGTTTGATATCCACTTCCAAAAATCAAAACTAAAAATCATTTTGCTTAGCTCTACAATAATTATGGAGATGGCACAGGGATTAGCAATATTTCTTTCTATTGTGGTGGTGGTGTGCTATGGAGTTGGTTCCAACTCATAGCTACTCTGCATAGGGTTCCTGAGGCTGTAAATAATATGGGAGCAGAAAGCTTTATCTTTCTCCCATGGAGCAGCTGGTAGTTTCAAACTGCTGACGTTGAGTTTGGCAGATCGACTCTTACCCATAAAGTTACCTTGGATCAAGTACTGTCTCAACAGCAGATAAGAGTATGTTTTACTATGCTCAGACATTCACACACATGTACACATAAGCAGATTGAGAAAGAAAGCTAGAAATCATGCTTGAGATAGACTGAGGTCAATTCCTCTCAGCATTTTACCATGCCATGAATGGGAAAAGTTAGTCAGTAGTTGAGCAGATATCTGGAAGGAGATCATTCCAAACTGAGGGAGCATCAATGACAAAGAGAAGTTAAAGGAAGAAAAAAGAGGTCACTGGGATTTGAAGGTGATGATTAGTCAGACAATATAGGACCTTTTTTTGTAACCAAATAACAGCTGATAGAGAACTTAGAGAACATTGGCTTTGCCTGGGTGTGAGATGAGGTGTAATATTATTATTGACCTCATCCACCACCCACCACAGAGAACTTCTAGAGGATGAAGCCAGTGTCAGAAGAGGACGTGGAATAAGGGATATCATTGCTGATATCAGATAGATCTTGGATGAAAGCAGAGAATACCAGAAAGATGTTTACTTGTGCTTTTATTAAATACCCAAAGACTTTCGATTGTGTGAATCATGACAAGCTATGGAGAACATTGTAAAGTATGAGTATTCTGGAATATTTTATTGTGCTCATGAGGAACCTGTACATATACCAAGAGGCAGTTGTTTGGACAGAACAAAGGAACACCAAATAGTTAAAAATTATAAAGGTGTGTACCAGTGTTGTATTCTTTGATTATGCTTATTCAATCTGTATGCCAAAACACATAATCAGAGAAGCTGGATTATATGAAGAAAATGTGGTATCATGTTTAGAGGACGACACACTAATAATCTGTTATATGCAGATGATATAACTTTGTTTGCTGAAAGCCCAGAGGATTTAAAATACTTGACATGGGTCAAAGAACACAGCCATCAATATGGATTGCACTACAATGTAAAGAAAATAAAAACCTTTGCTGTTGTTTGTTGTTGTCAGGTGCCATTGAGTCGGAACCGACTCATAGTGACCCCATGCACAGCAGAACAAAACAATGTCCGATCCTGGACCAACCTCACTACAGCTGCCACACTTGAGTCCATCAATGATGCAACCTGGCCAATCCATCTCGTTAGCGGTCTTCCTCTTTTTCTCTGACCCTCCACCTTACCCAGCATGACATCCTTCTCCAATGATTGTTTCCTCCGGACAACATGTCCAAAGTATGAGAGACGAAGCTTAGCCATCCTGGCCTCCAAGGAGCACTCTGGCCGCACTTCTTCCAAAACAGATCTATTGGTTCTTTTGGCAGTCCATGGCACTTTCAGTATTCTCCTCCAACACCACAACTCAAAGGCATCAATTCTTCTATGATCTTCCTTATTCACTGTCCAGCTTTCGCATCCATACGAGGCTATTGAAAACACAATGGCCTGTGTCAGGCACACCTTAGTCCTCAAGCTGACATCTCTGCTCCGACCCATAGAGACCCTGTATAGGGTTTCTGAGAAGCAGCTGGTGAGCTTGAACCACCAACCCTGAAGTTTAAACTGACTTTTCACTACAGCACATTAACCCACATCACCACACTAGGATAACACAGTGTCTATAGTTACTGTCCCTGTTAGTTGACATATAGAGGAAATGATTCAGAAGGCTGGGATTGTTTCAAATAGTAAGTTAAAATAGCTATAAAGTTAGAAGTTAGTGGTATAACATCATATATGGATATAATAAAGGAATACTGGGAGTGCAGTGTCTACATATTGGGCTGTTAACCTCAAGGTCAGCAGTTCTAAACTATCAGCCTTTCCAAGGTAGAAAGATGAGGCTTTCTGTTCCCATAAAGATTAACAGAGTCAGAAACACTATGCAGGGCCACTAAGAGTTGCAACCAACTCCACAGCACAGAACCACCAACCACCATGGACACAATAAAAGGAACATGAAATTTCAGTGTTTATGAAAAAGCATTTTTCTCTTGAGGGCTCCTTTTAAAAAATAATTATCATTAAAACAAAGGAAAAAGTATAAAGAAGATATTGTGATATATAAATACCAATAGATTACAACTAATTCAGTCCACTGAGGCAAGTCACAATTTATACATACAGATGAAGCAGTTGCTATTTTCACACCAAAGTCACTACAAAGAAAATAGAAATATTTTAGGTATGCAGTATGGTTATCTGTGTAAGAGATGTATGTAGCCTGACAAAGAGCAGTAAATTCAGGACAAAAAAATGGAACCTAATCTTAATGTGAGCAAATCTGTTATAAATAATAACTTAAAGTGTTACAGAGTAAAGATGTCACTTTGAGGACTAAGGTGTGCCTGACTCAGGTCATAATATTTTCAATTACCTCATATGCAAGTGGAAGCTTGGCAATGAATAAAGTAGACCTGAGAAGAATTGATATATTTGAATTATGGTGTTGGTGAAAAATATTGAAATTACCATGGGCCACCAAAAGGATAAACAAATCTGTATTGGAAGAATTACATCCCAGAACTGAGTATGCAAAAATTTAATCTCATGTACTTTGAACATGTTATCAGGAAGCACCAGTCCCTAAGGAAAGATACTATGCTTGCTAAAGTGTGGTTGTTGTTAAGTGCCCTCGAGTCAGATCCAACCCATAACGATCCTGTATAGAGTTTCTCAGGAGTGGCTGGTGAGCTTGAACCACTAACTTTGTGGTTCAAACCAACTTTGCAGTAGAGGATCAGTAAAAAAGAGAATGACCCTCAATGACAGGAATTGACAAAATGGCTACAACAATGCTCTCAAACATAACAACAATTGTGAGGATGGTGCATCACCAAGCAGGTTTCCATTCTGTTTACGCAGGATCGTGTAAATTGAAACTGATTCTATAGCACTTAATGACAATTACAATCTCAAAGCGAAGAATAAAGACTGAAAAAATGTCAAAAGGAGGATGAAAAGGAGATGGAAGGTAATAAGAAAGACAGGTAAGGCATTAAAAATGAAGGAATAAATTTAGGAATGGGTTAAGGAATAACAGAAGAAAAGATCAAGGAAATAATTAAGGAAAGGTAATACACGTGGAAGGTTCTGAATTAATGAAGGGTTGTTAAAAGTGCAGTGGTTAAAACACTTGTCTGCTAACCTAAAGGTTGGTGGTTTGATCCCACCAGCCCCTCCATTAGAAAAAGATGTGGCAGTATACTTATGAAGAAATAACAGCCTTGGAAACCTTATGGGGCAGTTCTACTCTGTTTCATAGGGTCACTGTGATTCAGGATTGACTCCACGACAATGTTTTTCTTATAATTGAATTTGAGAAAAAGTACTGGAATGATAAATATGTATAAATAGTTGGCATGTGGTAATTGCTTCAGGATTGTGATATTTGGGGGTTATTTTTAACAGTGTAAAACAGTGTAAACGTAAAATTCTGTTCATACGTTCAAATGTTTAAAAAGAAAATTGTCATCACCATTTCTGTACATTCTTAAGCCAGAGTAGCCAGTAACTACAGCAATATGATCACTCTTTGATGATTCTACCGTGGACTACACATTTTAACGTGTAATCAGCTTAAGCAAATAGGACTCCTAAAGACAGATTATAAAGATTCTCACATCTTTAACTGTTGATCAGGAGTGTATACCTGGCTTTATAGTAAAACATGCCATTTTGCACTAATTCTCCCAAAATGTTGTAGAATTGCAAGGTGTTTGAAAACACTGACAATGAATGTAAGGCATTCAGAATTTGCTCCCTGAAACCAGTAACAGAAAGAACACCATTGAATGTAAAGTTTTCAAGATACTCACTCACTACCTAAGAAATGATTAAGTTTGATCAGGTGCCCTGTTAGACAACATATTGTTACATTCTATAGACTAACAGTAGGAGAACACATGTATGTCTTCAGTTTGAAATAAATATTATTAGCCAAATCATACATTTAAATTATATTGTGCAATGAAATTCAAGGAAATATTCTGGATATTTTGCCAGTGATGGATTTTCCTAGGGCCATCTGCATGTCCCTGTTTCTCAGGCTATATATGAGAGGATTCAGAGTGGGTGGTAACACAGTATAAAAGACAGATATCAACATTTTCAATGAAGATGAAGATTTGAAATTTTTTGCTAAGTATGTAATAATCCCTGAAAAGAGGAACAATGTCACCACAGTGATGTGAGGCATGCAGGTGGAGAAAGTTTTCATTCTTCCTTTTGCAGATGGAATTCTTAGAACGGTGAAAAAAATACAAACATAAGAAATAATCATTATAATAAAACATACAACACCGAAACAGCAGCTAGCAATGATAAATGAATATTCTAAACTATGCTCTCCAGAACAAGCAAGTGCTAGCAGTGATGGAACATCGCAGAAGAACTGATGCACTATATTGGGCCCACAGAAATTGACAGAGAATGTACCTGCTACATGAATGGATCCATAGACACATCCACTGAACCATGATGCAGTCACCATCTGCACACAGACACCTCTGTTCATAATGGCTTCATAGTGCAGAGGATGGCAGATGGCAGCATAGCGGTCATAGGACATAACTATAAGAAGGGCATATTCTGTGCCCGCAAAAAAAATAACAAGAAAAAGTTGTGAGGCACATCCTAGGAAGGAGATGAAATGGGTGTTGGTTAGAGAATCCATGATGGACTTAGGTACAGTCACAGAGATGTAGCAGATATCAATCAAAGAGAGATTCTTCAGGAAGAAATACATGGGGCTTTGGAGGTGCTTATCAATAGTAGTGAGGGTGACAATGAGGAAGTTGCCCATCAATGCTGTCAGATAAATGAGGAAGAAGAGTGCTGCATGGAGGGTTTGTATCATCCAGTCATCAGGGAATCCCATGAGCAAGAATTCTGTCATGAAGGTCATGTTGTAAAATTTCTCAGACATTCTGATTCTTCATAGATAAAATGGAAAGAAGGCAAAATAAAGCACACCTTTCTTATTCACTGATCTCTTTTCTAGCCCACCCATTTTCTTCTTCCATGGCTATTCTCTCCAGGTACCTTTATTTCCTTATTTTACCGATGATTTTCTTAAGATCTAATATAGATCTTATAATATGGAGTTTTGGTGAAGAGCTGTGGATTACTGCACTTGACTGCAGTGTTGGTTTGAACCATGAGGTCAACAATTTAAGCTCACCAGTCACTGCTGGGAAACCCCATACAAGGGTCACTGTAAGTTGGCTCCAGTTTGATGGCACTTTAAAAGAATAACAACCATACAGGTTAATCCCCTCATGTAAAATTAATTTCCTTTTAAAATATACAGTATGAATTATATCAATATGAACATTAATAAACTTTCCTTTGTCAATGGCCATGAAGAAAGTTAAGTTATACCAGTTTTGATACCTTGAGTGTCTGAATGGAAGATGTAGTAGTTTTAGAGTATATTCTGAAAACACAAGAGCTAAAATCCCTTTACTGAAATGATGAACAAATACATTTTCTTATTTTCTACATGTCCTTCTCTCAAATTCTTAGATATGTGTACACTATTCATCACCCTCAACATAAAATATTTCAAGGTTCCATAATTAAGGAAATATCCTCAATTTTCAAGAACTGTGTAAAATGTTGCAGAATAAATGGAAGATAGGGCAAATAACGTAGACATTATTCTAGCATGGTGAAATTTTCCTTGCTATGGTATTGAAGCATTTAAGTTGTGTGTATGTGTTTATGCTTTTGTTGGTATTTGTATATATAGTGCATGTATACATATAGATACTACACACACTGATATATATATACTAGTTGTTGCTAAGTGACATCAAGTCAGTTCTGACACATAGTAATACACTATAGGGTTTCCAAGGACCAGCTAATGAATTTGAACCACCAACCTTGTGGTTAGCAGAATGCTTACCATACAGAGCCACACCAAGACTCCATATATTTGAGAGAGATGCAAATAAATTTCTAAATTGCATCATATAAAATCTCACATTTCATTTTATCATTAAGGATAAAAGTGAGTTTTTTCTCTATGTAAAAAGTATAACTAAATGAATCTTTCAATGACAAAGAGAAATTATCAAAAGGAAAAGTTTAGAACATGATCAGAGATCTTGTGACTTGTTTATATCCTTTTACTTAGTAAATGAATAAGGATCAACTGAGACATATAGGATCATCAGTTACTACCTTGCTCAAATCTAGTGAACAAAACTGGCATTATACTAGACCTGACTACCAGAGCATGGATTCATCTCTTAATATCTTATCTCATTGAACATTTGGGGAAAGGAAGCTGATGAGATAACCTACAAGATATATAAGGGGATGTGGTACTATGCGGTCAGCACTTGACTGCAAATCACAAGGTTGACGGTTCAAACCCATCAACTGCTCTTTAGAAACGCTGTTATACAGGATCACTATGAGTCAGAATCAACTCAACAGAACTTAACAAAAGTAACAGCAACATCTTTTATTCTTAGTCTTATGTCCTCTCATAAACTAACGGTAAGTGACAATCCCACTCAATAACTACTTGAAAGTCTAGGGGCTTGGAGATTAACTCACCATGTAGCAGTCAGCAGGGGCTTTCAATTCCATTATTTTTAAAAAGTCATTCCTTAGACACTGTAGAGTTGGAGGCAGAAGTTGTGCTAACTGATAATAATTTGCTTTCACTATAAAATTCCCTCTGGAGAAACTGGCTCTGTATAAAATATAACTGTATTGTGTGCTTTCTTGATGCTGGTTTAATAGCATATTATAGTTTCATCTTTTCCTTCTTGGTTAGATTAAAAATAGCATAAGATGTAAACATTTTCTGGCGTTTACAAGTGTCCAATTAGGGTGGGATATAACTGCCCAAATGTTTTAATGAGGCTTTTGTTGTTTGTTTCCTAAGAGACCTTGGACATCTTGGGATCTGATGCCATGGAAAAGCCAAGTTTTGAGTGTAGGCCATGAATAACATAAAGGGATATCCAAGATTAATATATACAATACCTATTTGATCCAATTTGGTTAGTAAATTGGCTTATAAATTATGACTGCCTTTTTGATAAACACGTTTTTTTTGTTGTTGTTTAAATCTTAATCCAGGTACTGATACAGGCAGATTTTAGGAATTTATACTTGGTAGAAGAGTTTAATTGCTATCCTATTATTAATATTTTCCTTTCAAGCATAAATTGCATATTAATATACTTTTTATAGAAATGATATAAAAGCTGAAGAAAATAAATGATATCTTTGTAAGGTTAAATCTAATCATATAAATATAAATGATATTAAGCATTGATTAAAAAGCAGAAATCATCAGAATGGATATTTTTTAAATGGCTCAACAACAGGTTGCCTACATGAATTTTTTAAAAACTGAAAAATTATGGGAAGTTTAAATATAAAGGTATGAGTAAAGTTATACTATGTAAACATTAATGAATGAAAAGAAGGCTGATGTAGTCATATTGACATTTTGTTGTTGTTAAGTGCCATCAAGTCAGGTCTGACTTTTAGTGACCCTGTTTAAG